CCGTATCAAGAACGTAGTTTCTGTCAGGCTAGCTAAGGGTATCCACGAGCTACTTCTGGTGGTTTTTGCCGACAGCTGTGCACTGGTGCGCTGCGAAAACGACGTTCATCCATGCTTCCACTACTATGAAGCTGAAGGCACCGCCCTGAATGTACATGCTATAACCGGATCAGCACATTGGTGGATCACCCAATGCCTAAAGTCCACTAAACCTCAAGCGGGGCTCGACCAAGACACGGCGAAGTTGCAGACGCACCGACGCAAGACAACAACGCCAGGGAAGCTCCAGAAGCCGAATCACCGCAGGAGGACGGACGGCTTCCGACGATTTATGAAGAATCGGATGTGTTGTACACAAAACTACAGGAAGAAAGGGCATTCCAGACGCTCGCGCATCCCCACCAGCCACTCCGCCCCGCCTCCACTCCGGCGACTTACTGGTCCCGTTATGACTGTCGGTGCTCGGCTTGCTTCTGTTTGGTTAGTTTGTACCTCGCGCGGCCCGCCTGGACTTTGACACGCCGCTGCTGCGCTCTCGCTCGCGGCTGCGACAAAAAAGTACCCCCGCCAGCCCATCCAGAAACGATGTCCAGGCGAGTTGAGGTGATCATGGAAGTGCGGCAACAAAGAGGAGGACGGCCGAACCGCGCAAAGGAGTGAGGGGGAGAAGGAGGAGGTGGATGGATGGATGGATGAGGGAGTGGGAATAAAGAGGATGAATCGGATGAGGAGGAGGCGGAGGAGGAGGAGGAAAAGGAAGAGAAGGAGTAGGAGCAGGAAGGAGGAACAGGAGTAGTAGGGCGAGCACAAGGGCCAGAGGTCTCTTGGATGCCTCGCGGAGCCTCTTGGAGTATTTCTTGGGTGATTCTTGGTGGCCTCAGGGGACGTCTTCGGGGTATCTTGGCGATCCTGGTTTTTTTTTCTGGGTCTTGGGTGCCTCGGGGGGGGCCTCCGGGCCGCTTCGGGTATTCTTGGGGGCCTCCCGGGGGCCTCTTGGGGGCCTCTTGGGGGCCTCGTGGGGCCATATTGGGGCCATCTTGGGACCTCTCGGGGCCTCCCGTGCCCTCAATTGAGGCCCCCCCCAGGAGACCAAAGCGGGGCCAACGCCCTAGTCAAAGCAATGATTTTGGTTTCCTCGCCGAGGCCGTTTTGGACGCCCTAACTACTTGCGGCGCCCCCCGCCGAGGCCCATGGGAGGGGGTGGGGGGAGGGGTGACCCCCCTCCGAAGGGGAAAGGGAGGGGTGGAAGAGGAAACGCCCTAAATCACCGACGCCCAGAGGGCTCGTGGAATTATTGGGGGCAGCTCCATTAGATCACCTTTACAGTGCACCCACGCGCGATCACTGACAACAGTGCGCTGGTCACGGCAGCTGAAGAACAGCGGGGGCACCTGCCTGCGCGGGGCTACCCGCGCGACTCCGACGACGCGGAGACAGATCGCGCCCCAGTATGTTCCACGGGCGACGACCATATGTACGGATTGGCATCGGAGGAACATTTTAATACATAAAGCTTGGCTTTACTGCAGACGTGTTAATGGTAGTCTTATCCGAACGAACACATGGGATAGTAAACATCGACCGTGTGACCACCATGCGAGTATATGCGACCGCTGCCGCAAAACGGGCCGCGGTCGTCAAAGAGGACGATTCTCGCACGAAAGCCGATACCCAGGCGAATCCAGTCATGGTATCAAAGGCCCGATTCACTGAATTCGACGCGCGGTTTGACAGCAGGCGTGACAAGATGCGAGATCGATCAACGGCGTCAAACATCATGACTTCGAGATAAGTATATAAGTGTGAGTTCGTAAAGAGAGAAACGGGAGAGTCGGAACGGACCATTAGGCTACGCCTGGTACGTGGGGGGGTTCATGGACCTCGAGGCCCCCCATGTGGATTTTTTTTTTTTTTTTTTTTTTTTTTTTTCCAGGGGCGTCGAGGTGGTCAAGCCAGAGACTACGTGCAAGCGCGGCAGCGTGCGAGGCGCAATGGGTCATCGCTTCCCTTGACATCAACGCGGTTTCCTGAAAGGGTTGGCCTATCAGCAATTGCTTGAGGCAGCCAGTGACAAGGAACGCGTGGTGCGTTTTACAGTGCCACGTTGATCAGCATCGGTGCTTCGGTCCCTTCCAGGAGTCGAGCACTACGATGAGTCGAAGCACTTCTTATAGTGCCTCCAGCCAGGCACAGGCACCCAGGATGCACCCAGAGCCTTCTCACTGAATCTAGACCACGTGAGGGTTTGGGTTCAGACCCACGTCTTACGACGATGTTTTCGGGACAAGCAGCGACTTTCTCATTGCCAAGCACGTGGATGATATCAATATGGCCGGTACTGAGGACACCATCGACAGGTGCGTCCAGTGCGTTGACGATATTTTTGGTAAATGTAAATTCCTCACACATACATATACCAATTGTGTTGTGAGGTATTCCAAGGATTGGGGCGGTAACGTTACACTTGATCAAAAATGGATACATCAAACAGCTCCGTCCCATTCAACACATTGACCCCACAGGCGCAGACGCTGACGCAAAAGCATCAAAGATGGCCACTGACACGTTTGTCAGCCTCAGAGGCGCGTTGGCTTACGCATTAATCACCCAGGTGTGGATGATGGTATATTTTGTTCCCCTACAGCGTGTCCAGGAACCGAGTGGCATACAGGCGCGACGATTGAGCGCGATTACCAGGAAGTTGCAGGGTTGCCCTAATAATATCATCTATCGATCTATGACCCCAACGGGCGAAGTCGACCTGCACAGCGACTCCGGCTATCGACGCCTGAATGGAGGTGCTGATGACGAGGTCACTATGGCATTCGCGGCGCAAGCCTGCTACGGTGCGCAAGCACACCAACCGGTATGCCTGTCGTCCATTGATCGACGCGCGCTGCAAGTCTCGCCGCTTGCAGGTCCGCTCAAGCTGTTCAGCAGCAGCACGAGCGGCAACCCACAACTTGGAGGATTGCTATCCCACGATCGTCACTTTGCACGAACCCCACGCAGGGGCCACTGAGACCCACTCAGTTGAAGTATATACTAGAGATGGGCGGCTTGAGCATCACGGTCACTTTGTCCATCAATTCGGGGGCGGACAGAACCCTCAACGGTAACACGTCGATTAGTGAATTGTCCGTTTTCGGTTCTCGAGAGGGCGCCGCGGTCGTTATTTTCCAGGCTTGCGCCCGCCAGGTTTGGGCTTCAGGGCGTTTTCACTAAACCACGTTTTACTAAAGGGAGGTCTGTCCATCCCCGATAGATGTTGAATATGTCTTCGGGTCTTTGTCAAACAAAGACCTGAAGAAACCGACCGGGTGTACTCTTTCGGGGCACGCCAGTTGGATACGACAGGTGATGGAGCGGGGTATCGCGCATAGTATACAGTGGTGTGGCACTCGCGGAATGACCGCGGACGGTCACACAAATGGGATCATTGACAGAGATATGCTCTTACATGTCATGGGAGGAACGGAACCCTTCAAGCATTATTTAATCGTTTCGCTCATTCCGCCGGCCCATACAGTCTCATGTCTGCCGTTTGCCCGAGGGCCTGGTGTCAATGCGGCGCCTTGGGGGTTCCTGGGGCCGCTTGGGGGACTCCTGGGGCGCTCGGGGGGGCATTTGGGGGGCCTCTTGGGGCCGCTTGGGGGACTCTTGGGGGCCTCCTGAGGGCCTCGTGGGGGCCTCTTAGGGCCTCTTAGGGGCCGCCCCTTTGGGGGCGTTCTTGGGGCCCTCGTGGACCGTCTTGGAGGCTTCTTGGGCCGTCTTCGAGTCCTCTTGGGCCATCTTGGGGCCCTCTTGGGGGCCTCTTGGGCCCTCTTGGGGCGATCTTGGGGGCCTCTTGGGCCGTCTTGGGGCGTCGGGAAGCCGAAAAGGTGGAAGCTCCAAAATCTTTCAAAAACCTAAGGAAAAGCAATGAATTTTGCCTCCGGGGGCCCTCTTGGGAGTGCTCTTGGAGGCCTCTTGGGGCGTCTGGGGGCTATCTTGGGCGTCTTGGAGCGATCTTGTGGCATGTCGGACCCCTCGTGTACCATCTTGGGGGCCTCTTGGGGGCCTCTTGGCCTTTCTTGGGGCTCTCGGGGACGTCTCGGAGCCCTGTTGGTGCGCTCATGGAGCGCTCTGGTGGCTTCGCCCGGGGATCAGCCGGGAGTCGCCCGGGGTACTTTTCGTCCGGGGACCCCCAGGGGCCGCCCCGCGCGCGCGAACTAGAGAATTGTTAACCAGTTACCGGAGATCTTAGCACGCCTCTGGCCCGTTGGGCCGGCGAATTTAAACGTCATACTCCGTTACGGTAGGTCTGTGTCGTGCCGACCGTCGGCGACCCCGCCGCCGGCGTTCAACGTTGAACGCCGCTGGCGACCCAGACTCAGTCGATGTTGAACGATCGGACGTTTTGGAAACGGCCGATCGTTCAAGGTTGAACGATCCCCGCGGTATCAGGGACCAACGCCGGGGTCGACACGACACGAACCTACCGTACGGGCTGGCCAGACAACGCCGTCTGAGGCCGCATGAGGAGTACTCGCTTGCAGAGCGATCTGTTGGCGAGGCAACTTGCGTGCAAGGGCACTTGCGTGCGGGCGCACCTTCCTTTTGAACCTGCCTTTTGCTGCCTTTTGTGCATGTAGTATTTACTGTATAGCGGGCGGCGGGGTCACGCCTCGTCTCCCCCCCGACTCCTAAATAGAGCTGGGGCAAAAGTGGGAGATAACGAGCGTTTGCCCGCGGCCGTTTGTGTTCAAGCGGCTGGCCGCCGCAATATGATTGTGCCTCATCGCGGGGCACAGTACTTGCCATCGAGACCGAAAACGTATTCACTTGAGATGGCCCGTCACTCCCGCGACGATCTCCTACTTCTGGGACTACCGCTACTACGGTACAACAGAGTTGGATATGCCCCTTCAAACTAGTTTGGGGGCCCTCCTTTGGCCGCCCAGGGCAGCAGTGCTCCCTGTGCTGCAGGGGCCGCTCACCGCCCCGCGCCCCGCCGGCAGGAGAAGGAGAACGAGCCGCCTCCGGAGCCACCGCAGCAGGGCAGGGGCGCACCCCCGCCGCAGGCACGGCTCGTTTCGAGCCGACCGAGCCGCTCCGAAGTGCACTTCGGACGGCCCGCTCCGATTTTGATGAGGCTTTTTTTTTTTTCCACCACCACCATAAGTGGGAGGGGGGAGGGGCCCTCCTCCCCCTCTTCTTCTTCCTCCTCCTCCTCCTCCTCCTCCTCCTCCTCCTCCTCTTCCTCCTCCTCCTCCTCCTCGTCCCCCTCCTCTTCCTCCGCCTCCTCCTCCTCATCCTCATCCTCCACCCCCTCCCCCCTCCAACTTGTGGTGGTGGTGGTGTTGGTGGAAAACAGGCCCTTCAGTTTTGGTTGCACCTGTTCCGACGATCCGGTGCGGCCCATGACCCGCGTGGCGTCGTTGCGCGGCCTAGCGGTTGCCGATATGAATCGATTGCGGCTCAGTGCCGACGCGGTCCGATATGGCGCACATCCGCACATCCCGGCGATCCGATTTCCCGATCTGATGTTGATGGATCCTGGCAGGCCCCTTGCTGCCGGAGCCAGGAGGCACCGCCGTCGTGCGACGCCCGTCCGGCTTCTCCTGCGGGGAGGCCTGCTTGACGAGTGGGGCGAGCGGAAGTCCTGGCCCGCCGCTCCGCAGCTGCACCGCTTCTGCTTGCGCGGCTGGCAGCCACGAGTGTCTGTTTCCACTTGGGCGTCGCATAATGTGAGGGAGCGCCAAATGGGGGGGGCATCGAGGGCTGCAGAGAGGGGCCCATCAGGGCCCCTAAATGGAGCCCTTTGCGGCCCCACAGGGGGGTCTTCAGGGACCGAGAACTGTACCACTCTTCTCCCCCCGTTTCTATCGCCCCCCACTCACTCACGCCCATCTTGAAGCCGGCTACCACGAGTGTGTTCCCAGCCCAAACCTCTGGCATGGTTTGTTCGACCCGAGCCCTTGTGCCTCGATTTCGGCCTCCGGGGGGGGCCGATCTCGAGCCCCAGGACCATCAAACACTGATCTGGGATGCACGGCTACCCCCGGGGAAGGGGTCAAGACCTCTTGGGGTCCGCGGATTGAAAAAGCTCCTCGTCGGACGTCTGCGTCTGGCGCTGCTCCCAGTGCCCTCGGGCATTTAGGCGGACGGACGAACCTTGAGCAAGTGATCGTTTTCTTATTCGTTGTTTTGCCAATCGGCGCGGGCCCTCGCATCCCCCCTCCCCCCCCTCCACGTGGAGTAGATCCTGGTTGTTTTTGGCCCCTGTTTCGAGCAAGTTGGGCCTCCCCCACAGAACGCACTGCTGCAAGCAGTCGCACTAAGCAGAGGTCCGAAGCCAGACCCCCCCCTCAACCCCCTTCCGCCCAATGTCGAAACGCCGAATCAGAAAACGCTCACCAAGCCCCTTATCCCCCGCCTCCTGCTGCTCCTCCTTCTCTTCCTCCTCATTCACCTGTCTCCTCAGCAAGCCTCGGCAGACAAGCGCGACATGCGCGTTCACACTTGTACATGTGCAAGTAATATGTAATATGGTATCGATCGTCAGAGCCGAACACGGGACATTGAGGACCATGATTATGACTTCTGTTCCGTGATGACCAATTTTTGGTGGGAGTTGGTGGGGTTTGGGAGAATACGCGTCGGTACATTCAGAACGTTTGAAACAGGACCACCTTGGTTTCGGAAGGCGCTCTGTGTTCGGGCTGTCCTATATCCTTTCGTGGGCTCTTCCTCGGGTGCTGCTCATACATATGTTCGTAGATGGGGCTCGAGTATGACTCCGTCCACCATCTACGGTTGTCCATTGCAAGGTTTTGACGCTACGCGGGTGGGGGCAGTTGGTGCTCTCAGAAGAGCAATGGCAGTCGGTCTTCTTGTGGGTCTTCGCTTCCCCACAGCACAGTTTGTTCCACCGTCCGACAGCATTTAGTCTGTGCCTTCGGGTGCTAAGCATGATTTTCGCGCGGCCCTCGGCTCCGAAGGGATGTGTTCATCTTTCTCTTCCTCGGGTTGCGCATCCGTTCTCATTCCTCTTCTCGCTTCTCTGTTGTATGGAAGCCCAGCTCAGCTATCATGTTTGGTTCACTGGGTTGTCTGGTAAACTATTGAGTCGTCAGTGGTTGGAGCACTATCTGGAGAAACAGGAGGTAAGAGGATGCGGGGGGAGAGTCGACGTACAGGGAGCAGGGAGAGTGCAAGAGAGGGGGGGCGGAGGAGGTTGAAGAGGGGATGGAGTACACAAGAGTCGAACACATGGTCCGATGCGGTTCCGAGGTGAAACCATTTTTGACGGTCAAACACTGTAGATAATGCCAGGTCGTTGACACCCGTTCTCATGTACATTTGGTGTTCGTTCAGGTAGACATTTGGTGGTCGTCCTCTCCGTTACTGCCCACTTGCAGAGGTTGTTTTTCGGCCTCCTCCGGTTAGTGAAGCACGATAGTTTGAATGAAAGAATTCGGCTCCTGGCTACATTGTTGGCAGGAGATTTCTTGTTTTTTATTGCACGGATCGGTTCTTGATATGACGGACATGGTGAGGTTTAGGGTTTCGGAGACAGAAGAGCTTGAGATCGGCAAGCATGTGCGCGATTCCAGCCAGCCACAGGCTGTCATTGGACATGTAATGTGTATATGCAGAAATTCGGTGGAGGAACAGCAGAGCAAGCTCGGTTTTGCGTGATGGGATCCATGGGCAGGTGTGTCGAATATGTAGTGGAGAGCAAGAGCTCAGCGTAATTTAGAATTCGAGCACGAGTTTACTGCCCAGTTTTGACTGTAATGATCCGCGCTCGCCATACATGAAGCAGAACCAGGCAGGCGGACAGACGCAACAACGTAATGCAGCCCCGTGCGTTCGAATGTTCGTTTCCAACGAATATCGTGCATCAATTCGGTTTCAAGGGCCACATACTGAAAGCGCATACTTAATGTAGTGGGTCAGCTTTCGTTGTTTGCACCATGCGTTGAACTACTGCGCGCTTGTCACCGAAATGCCCACGGCGTACCACAGCCCTGCCAGGAAACACCTACGCGGCCAAAGGCTCAGTCGACGTTTGGGAAACACGTTGGATTGTGCTGATCACGCCGTCATCGTCGCCGGCGTGATCAGCATCGGCGCCGTCACTGGCTGCCCGTCGTCGCTGTCAGCATCGTCGCCAGCATCGCTATTATCATCATCGTGTCTACCGTTGTCGACGTTGCCATTATACCGCGCCCGCCCAAGTCGCCGTCTCGCACTGAAGTGCCCGCTGGGATGTGCCGAGCGGTCAGCGCCACCGCGTTCGTGATTCGTGTCGGTCGCGCCAAACTAGCTGGCCGCTGCGCGCGCGAGCATGCGCGGGCTAGCGCGGCCACATATACGCACCAGCCAACACCCAGCACTCATCGCAATCGTTCCCGCATGGGTTTTGCAAACCAAGTTGGGGGTGGGTGGGTGGGATGATTGCGCGAGCAGTGGAGTTGACAATTTCAAGTTCGGCAAGTGATGTTCACCCATAGTTTCCACCTCCAGTTCACACAGCGTAGCTTACACGATATTTGTCACACCGCATGGTTTTCAGCTCCATACTATCTCACACCACACTGCTTAAACTATATAAGTTTCACCTCGTAGTCACACCTCATAGCTTGCACCTCCACAACATTGCAATCATGCGTTGCGTGGGGTCAATGATGGTTAACATGTTTTCGCCCGGGAAATAGCAGTCAACGATCGTAGCCTCTTCGTGCTTTCCGTGGGGGCCTCTTGGAGGTTTCGTGGGTCGTCTTGAGAGAGTCATCGGAGACTCTTGGGCCGTTTCAGGCGATCATGCGGCCTCATTTGGGCTATCTTGACCGTCTTGGAGACCCTTTTTGGGAATCTTGGAGCTTGGAAGCTATCTTCAGCCACCTTGGCCGCGTTGGAACCCTCATGGGACCATCTTGACCGGGAAAGCCGATGACACATGAATGTTCCGCGTGGCCGGCGGGTTGAGTCGGAGACCGCGGGGAATTGTTTGGACGGGTTAAAAAAGGAAATGCGCATTCGGCATGCGACGCACCCATTTGCAAACAGAAGGTGGCTGCGGTGCATCCAGGGACCTCCGGCCCACCTCACCATCGTGCCTGTGCTGGATGCAGGGCGAAGTTGAGGCATGGGAGCACGGAGTGGGAATACTGCGTGTTCCCAATTATGTGGGGGCTTCTCGGGGGCCGCTTGCGTGCCTGTTTGGGGTCCTCGTTGCCGCCTCATGGGGGTTCTCGTGGGGGCTTGAATCGGGGCCATGTTCTGGGTGGGCTCCCAGCTGCGTTCCTGGATTCCGTTCGCAGCGCGATTTTTCGGGCCGTCGCTTTCGCCGCCTGACCCTCGTCTCGCGGCCGCGACCGAAAAAGTTGTTTCCCAACCCTCCTGCGTTGGGTTCTCGTTTTGAATAGAGCAGTGCGGTCGCGTCTCCTCCTCCTCCTCCTCCTCCTTCCCGCCTCGTTCCTCCTTTCCTCTTCCCCCCTGCATCTCACCTTGCTCGTCGCCGCGTGTCAGCTTGCCTCCTGCCTGGTCATCCCTGTGCGGGGCTGCGATCTGCGAAACTGTCGCCACTTTCGAGGGCTGCTGGGGGCCCAGCGGAGTGGGGTCATGACCCAGATTAGACCTCGCCATCCCTGGGGGGGCTGCGATCTGTGAAACTGTCGCCACTTTCGAGGGCTGCTGGGGGGTCCAGCGGAGTGAGGCACCACGGGGATTCAGATTAGACCTCGCCATCCCTGGGGGGCTGCGATCTGTGAAACTGTCGCCACTTTCGAGGGCTGCTGGTGGGTCCAGCGGAGTGAGGCACCACGGGGATTCAGATTAGACCTCGCCATCCCTGGGGGGCTGCGATCTGTGAAACTGTCGCCACTTTCGAGGGCTGCTGGTGGGTCCAGCGGAGTGAGGCACCACGGGGATTCAGATTAGACCTCGCCATCTCTGGGGGGGGGCTGCGATCTCTGAAACTGTCGCCACTTTCGAGGGCTGCTGGTGGGTCCAGCGGAGTAAGGCACCACGGGGATTCAGATTAGACCTCGCCATCTGTGGGGGGCTGCGATCTGTGAAACTGTCGCCACTTTCGAGGGCTGCTGGTGGGTCCAGCGGAGTGAGGCACCACGGGGATTCAGATTAGACCTCGCCATCTCTGGGGGGGCTGCGATCTGTGAAACTGTCGCCACTTTCGAGGGCTGCTGGTGGGTCCAGCGGAGTGAGGCACCACGGGGATTCAGATTAGACCTCGCCATCTCTGGGGGGCTGCGATCTGTGAAACTGTCGCCACTTTCGAGGGCTGCTGGTGGGTCCAGCGGAGTGAGGCACCACGGGGATTCAGATTAGACCTCGCCATCCCTGGGGGCTGGGGGGCTGCGATCTGTGAAACTGTCGCCACTTTCGAGGGCTGCTGGTGGGTCCAGCGGAGTGAGGCACCACGGGGATTCAGATTAGACCTCGCCATCTCTGGGGGGGGGGCTGCGATCTCTGAAACTGTCGCCACTTTCGAGGGCTGCTGGTGGGTCCAGCGGAGTAAGGCACCACGGGGATTCAGATTAGACCTCGCCATCTGTGGGGGGCTGCGATCTGTGAAACTGTCGCCACTTTCGAGGGCTGCTGGTGGGTCCAGCGGAGTGAGGCACCACGGGGACTCAGATTAGACCTCGCCATCTCTGGGGGTTGCTGCGATATGTGAAACTGTCACCACTTTCGAGGGCTGCTGGTGGGTCCAGCGGAGTGAGGCACCACGCGGACTCAGATTAGACCTCGCCATCCCTGGGGGGCTGCGATCTGTGAAACTGTCGCCACTTTCGAGGGCTGCTGGTGGGTCCAGCGGAGTGAGGCACCACGGGGATTCAGATTAGACCTCCCCATCTGTGGGGGCTGCGATCTGTGAAATTGTCGCCACTTTCGAGGACTGCTGGTGGGTCCAGCGGAGTGAGGCACCACGGGGACGGGGACTCCGATTAGGCCTTGCCATCCCTGGGGGGGCTGCGATCTGTGAAACTGTCGCCACTTTCAAAGACTGCTGGGGGGCCCAGCGGAGTGAGGCACCACGGGGACTCAGATTAGTTCTCGCCATCCCTGGGGGGCTGCGATCTGTGATGTGAAACTGTCGCCACTTTCGAGGGCTGCTGGGGGCCCAGCGGAGTGAGGCCCCACGGGGACTCAGATTAGACCTCGCCATCTCTGGGGGCTGCGATTTGCGAAATTGTCGCCACTTCCGAGGGCTGCTGGGGTGACCAGCGGAGTGAGCCCCCACGGGGACTCAGATTAGACCTCGCCATCGCTGGGGGGGGCTGCGATTTGCGAAATTGTCGCCAGTTTCGAGGGCTGCTGGGGGGGGCAGCGGAGTGGGGTACTCAGATTCGACCTCGCCATTCCTGGGAGACTGCGATTGGCGAAACCGTCGCCACTTTCGATGGCTGCTGGGGGGCCAGCGGAGTGGGTCCTACGCAGACTCAGGCTCGACTTCGCCATCCCCGAAGGGCTGCGATCTGCGAAACTGTCGCCACTTTCGAGGGCTGCTGGAGGGCCCAGCGGAGTGGGGACATTTTCGGATTCAGATTAGACCTCGCCATCCTTGGGGGGCTGCGATCTGCGAAACTGTCACCACTTTCGAGGGCTGCTGGGTGGCCCAGCGGAGTGACGTCATACGCGAGCCTGGGGCTTTAATCCTCGTTTTTTCGATCGTCGTCCTGTGAGCCGTGCAATGCGTGCGCATCCCATGTAGTTTGCACAGCAATTCACATCGCCTACATTATCGTTGTTCCTGCTAATGTTGGCCTACTCCTCTTGCCACTTGATGCACGTGGGTTGGGTACGTCGCAGGGTAATTCGGGCCACTCCTGGAGCCGTCTATGAAGCCTCTTGTGTCCTTCTTGGTAGCTTTTGGGGCCGTCTTGGGACGGTATGAGACCGATAAGGCGAGAATGGCAAACTCATGCAAGCCAAACAGGTGTTGCATCCCCTGGTCCCCAAGACGGCGCAAGAGACCCCACAGAGTGCCCCTAGACGGGCCTTTGGGTGCACAGGCGCACCCTGGAATCGGGGGTCTGGGGCTCTTTGGCAGGATCCCAGTCCTTGGAAAAGCAATGTTTACCGGCGTGGACCCCAGATAGTAAGCCATTGCATTGCTGATGAGTGAGCTATTTGATGTGAGCGACGTGGTGTAAGATATGGTATCAGCCACCTGGTGTAAGTTATGCGGCGCAAGGTGTGCGGGGCAGTCTATGTGTGCTGCAAGTTCTGTGTTGCTGTGTGGTGCGAGCTGTGTGTGTAAAGTCTGTTCAGTGCGAGCTGTGCGGCCGCCCAGCGCACGCGGCGGCCGCGGGCGGGCGGCCGGGCGAAACCTCGGCACGCCCACCCGGAGCGCGAGGCGCCCGCGAGCGCCCCCGCGCAGGCACCGGGCGGAACCACGGCAGACTCGCCTGACGTGAGACACCCACGGGCGCCCACCAGCGGGGCACCGGGCGGAGCCCCTTGCTGAGCCATCCAGTTCGTGAGGCAAGCTCAACATGAACCCCTAGCGCAAGCAACATGCTAAGAGCACGAGTGACCAGCAGGGCTCTTGGGGCACTCCGCTTCAGGACAGGAGCACGGAGGCGGATGGTTCTCGCTGGCGCTGCCAGAGACTGACGCCTATCCCACACAATCCGTTCGTTGCTTTCGTTGGAGACACTACAGTCAAAGCTGGACAGTCCTTTGCCAGATGTAAATAGTGCACGTGCGGGTCGATGTTGTTGACCGCATGCTATTTCAATGCTCGCTGATGCACAACCATTATCGGGAGTCTTGTACATGCCTCTCCATTTAGCATTACGTGTGTGCGAACATCTTAGCGCAGAAACATTTCGACCAGAACATGCGGAGAGGGAGAGTGTAGTCGATGGTGATGGCATCTTGATGCTGATTCTTGTCCTCCGCTTCCGAGAACCGATGTCCCTTATTTTCCCTCGTCATCACAATTAGCAGTCACTATGTGGTTCCTACTCGTCAATCTTCATCTTGTTAATGTTTTCTCTCGACGCACGCCATAATGCTAGGCCTTGGAGGTTTGAGAGGGGGGGGTGTTAGCAGCAGCTGCAGAATGGGGCATGATCCCGTTTGCTGAGTGGAAGCGGTTCTCAAATATTGGTAGAGTTTTGATGATCTTCCAGGAAGGGGCCGCTGGCAATACGGTTCTCTCGACATTGGGGCCAGTCCTCCACTCCTCCTCCTCCTCCTCCACTTCTGCCTACCACTTGCATCGTTACACTATGCACGCATCAAGCCGCTGAACCTGCAAGATGTTTGTCCAAGCGGTTTAAGGGCTCGGTTTCAGGGCTCGTGACTCCGAATCCGGTCGCTTCCCACGACGCAGTGTAGCGTTTCATTCGGATTCTGTTGTAGGTTTCCTCTCGCTCGTTTTTGTCCTATCGACTGATTGTCGTGCCACGCCCCTGGAATCACTGCTTCCCCGCGCCGTAGTTGGTAACCTTTGCGTGTAGAGTTTTCTTCCATTGATCCGCTTCCACATCGATTTTGCCCGGCTCGGTCCAATTCGATTCCGATGTTAGGACGGTCCGATGCGGCCCGATGTTTCCGTGGCTTCGCTGTGCATCCGATGATTCGCCCGGGTCAATCTAAGTTCCCAGTTCGATGTTGATTGATTTTGCGTTTCCCAGCGCATCTTCCATCCACTCTCATCCCTACCCGTTTCTCTAAGCCCTCCGCGAACGGAGGTTCAATTCCATCATGGACAGTTCCCTCGTCTTTTCGCCCTTCGTGTTGCTGTTCGCGGGCGCCGTCGCTATCGACGAGAAGAAGGGCGAGGCTTGGATCGGGCGGCCTCCCCCGCCGTGGGCCCGCGGATTGGGAGGGGGAACGGGGAGGAGGAAGAGGAGGATGAGGAGGAAGATACTGTTTGGCGGAGGAGCGGGTTTGGTGTTGAGGAGACGCAGCAGAATGGGGAGGAGGATCATTGACGGGAAAGGAAGAGGAGCAGGAGGAGAGGGAGGAGGGTGGAGGGGGGAGCAGGGGGGGTAGTGAATGAGAATGGAGGAGGAGAAAGACCAGTGTAAACCCAAGACGCACCAACGATGTTGCAATACATCCTCCCTCCAAATTTCCTTGTCATAGATCCCAACAAGAATGTAGCTTCATTGTGGAACGTGCCCCATTGAAAGGCAACCGTCTGAGAATCCTCAATCGTGCCAAGACGCAGTTCTTGGGACTTCAGCGCCTCGAACCAACACGAATCGACATGACTGTTGCATCTTGACAATCCCAAATCGCCCCAGAAGAGCATTCCTGGGGCTTCAACATCACTGATGCTCCCAGCCAGTACTAAATCGTGCCAGACCACCATTCGTAGGACTTCAACCATGCGGGTCTGTGATCTTGGTGAAAGCGGTCAAGACGAATCTGCGCGGCGCCAAGGCGATATCCACATTTTGAAACGGAAGTGCCGTCCACCCATGAAATTGTTGCAAGCGTTTAGGACGAATGGGCACGGTGCGAAGGCGAGAGCAGCATTTTGAACAGAAGCCGCCTTCCATCAGTGAACATGTGGCGCGCACATGCTTAAGCCGAATGCGCACAGAGCTACACTTTGGCCACGGTTTGAACAAGAAACGAGCCGCCCTCCATCCGTAAAGTTTGCTGCACGCGTTAGAAGAAATGGGCGTCATTCGGAGCACGCAACGCACTTCATCTGTTAAGCTGCTGCACACTTGTATGATGAATGCGCGCGGCGCCGTGAAACCATCGCACATTTTTGACACTAGTGCGCGCAGGGCTGAGGCGGGAGCCACATTCTGAAAACGGGCCACCCTCCTTTCGTGAAACTGTTGCAACGTGCAAGCTTTGGGATCATACATGGTTCAGAATTTTCAGGCAACGCGCCCAGCCCGCCCTATCGATTGTCTGGGGGTGCGACGGACAGGATGTATCAGGAAGGCCTTCCGGCCAGTGCCGCCGATCTTGAAGGGGAACGACAACGACGACGGCGGCGGCGGCTACGACAACGACGCTGACCCTCTAGACCCTTTCCTTGGGCTTTCTTGGAAACCTATTGGGCTCTGTTGGGGGGCTTCTTGGGAGAGTACTTGGGAAGTTCCGTGGCCACTTGGAGCCGCCTCGGAGCAGATCTGAGGCATCTCGGAGGCATGTAGGACCACACGCAGCACCTCGCAACAGTAGATACGAGTGAGGAGGATGCTTCCAGGGAGGGGGGGGGTCCAGGAGGAAGGGGGAATGGCTGCCCCCTTGTCCGCAGGGGGGGGGGGCGGGGGAGGGGTCCTAAGTTCCAAGGGGACCACTCCCTGTCCGGCTTGCACGTAATTAGAAGGAGAAGGGATGGGCGAGGAGGAGGAGGAGGAGGACATGGAGGAGGAGAACGAGGAAATGGATGCCTCTTGATGCCGTGTTGTGGCTTGTTGGTATGCGGCTTCATGGGAGCAGTTTTGGGGCCTCTAGGTGGCCTCTTTCGGGCCTGGACCTCCTGAGGCCTCGTAGGGGGCCTCTGGGGGGCCTCCTGTGGGCCTGGGTGCAGAGGGACCCCTTGGCCGTCGGATGCCATCTTGGGGGCAGCTCTGGCAACTCGTGAGACCCTGTGTGTGTGCGCTTTAGGGCCGTTTTGGAGATATGTACCGTCTTGGGGCGATCTCTGGCATATGCAGCCGTCCTGGAGCGTCGGAAGCTCGAACTACGAGAACCTTACAAGCATGGAGAAGCATACGGGACATCTCGGATTTCGGCCTCCTGGAGGCGTTCTAGGGGCCCTCTCCGCGCCGTCTGGTGGGCATTTTGGGCCGTCTTAGGGCCATCCTGGCCGTCTTAGTCTGTCTTCGAGCCATCTTGGCCGTCTTGGAGGCCATCTTGAGGCCGTCTTGGGAAGGAGACCCATGGAAGGTGGACACTCCGTGCGGCCAGCGGGATCGGCCGAGACCCTCTTCCTCGGAGTTCACAACCAGTTTTTGCGCCGGCGGCTAGGCAGAGTCACTGCGCTGGCGATAGGTAGCATGGAACGGGGATGCCGTGGGCGAATTGCGCCACCATGCAGGGAGGAGAGGAACAGAACGGAGAGACGGCCGCAAGCCAGATTTCACTAAAACAGATAATTGAAGTATCTGGCACGCCAGGCACCCTTGTGATATATCAACCGGGCGCTGCGGATGACGGAACGCGCTCGTAGCGTGCGATTCGTTATCCGGGAGAGATGGTCTTGGGGGAGTTGGGGGGGTTGGCAGCCGCAGCACTAGGTGTCGCAGACTTCTCTTAGAGTCGAAAATGGAGAGCTCGCTGGGGACATCCTCAACACGTGGAGACATACACAATACCGTAGTTTGCAAAACCATGTGTTTCGTTTGATATATAAAGATCAGCTATGTGACTTATCGAATTCGACATCTGTTCAAACGTGGGGCTCTCGCCTGAGACATCCTGCCACAAATGGTATGTTCCCAACGCTGTTTTTTTTTTTACAAAAGCAAGCGTTTCGATCGAGACATCCTTCGAACATCGGGTTGTTGGGGCATCTATGTTTTGACGCCAGTGTAGGGCCCTCACGACTGCCGAACCTTGCGAGTTCTCGAGGAACATCCTCAAACGAAAGAGCAATCTCCTACATCGCAGTTTAAAACTTATTTTTGCAACATCGTCACGGAGTCTCTCTTATGGGGCTCCGAGGCAGCCCAATTGAGCCTTCCCCAACTTGCGATCTCGCTCGAATGTTATAACAACAACAAAGTGTTGGACATCGTATTGGAATCATTATTTGATGGCCTCCAGATTGTCTAACATATCCCCGCACGGGTCCCAAGATGAACCTAAGAGCGCTCTCCAGACGGGCCAACATGGCAATTTCGTTAAGGACATCCTCACCAACATAAAATTGTGTCAGCAACGTATTTGCAACATCGAGCTTTTCGCTTGAGGCATCCTCCGAGCATGGGATGCTGCAGGATCCGCCTTTCGACGATATTCCTAAAAAGAAGGCTCTCGCTGCAGACATCATCAGGACAATTTAGTTTCGAATTCGCCCACTGCATCCTCGCAACAATGAGATGTTGCCGGCGTCGTCGTGGTGTCGGTCTTGCCCAGCATCGCGTTTTCGCCAGGGGCATCCTCACACAAATGAGATGTTGTCGACATCGCGCTTGCCCCAAGCGGCGAGTTCGCCAAGGACATCCTCGCAAACATAAGATGCTGTCGACGTCGTCGTGATTTCTGTCTTGCCCAACATGGCGTCTTCGCCAGGGACATTTTCAACACATGACATATTGTCGAAATCGTCGTGGTACCGTTCCTGCACAACATGGCAATTCCGCGATGGAAATCCTCACAATAAGGAGATGCTGTCGAAGTCGTCAGTGCATCGCTTCAAGCTGGCCCACGAGGCTCCCAACCCGACTCCAGTTCAACTCAAAAGGTTCCGTAGATGGCCCGAGAGCCTCCCGAGACCCTCCGCCCCAAGGTTCTGAAGCGCTCTTTCCGTTCCCGTGCTGGCCCAGGTAACGGAAAGAGCGAAAGAACGAGGTACGAGCGATGTACGTTCTGGTGAGGCAAAGTTTTCTAGGGAGGGGTTCCAGGGGAGGGGCGAGACTGGGGCGAAAAGTCTAATGGCCAGCTTCTCTTGTATTGTTCCAAGTGAAGCGGCTGAAAGCCCCAAGGAAAGCTCCAAGACGGCCGAAGGCCTTCAAGACGGCCCAAGAGGGCCCCAGGACGCCCGACGAGGCTTCCGAGAGGCTTCCCAAGAGGGCCCACAGAGGAACAACAGCATTGATTTGTCGCCTGTCGGGCCCAGAACGGCCCAGAACGGTCGAGGAGGCTCCAAAGGTCGTTCCCAGGCGGCCCACGAGGCCCCCCAAGTGGCCCGAGAACGGTCCAAGAGGGACCCAAGACGGCCCCAGAGGGCCCCAAGACAGCCCAAGAGGGACCCACGACGGTCCCAAGAGAGCCCCGGGAGGGCGAGCCCCAAGACGGCCCTAAAAGTTTCCAAGACAGCCCAAAAGAGCACCCAAAGGGCCCCGAAAAGACTCCCACGAAGCCCTGGAGACGCCAAGTAACACCATGGCTCCCAACAGCGAGCGGTGACATAACAAGCTCTGAACACACCGCGCCTCCCCAGAGCGCGGTGACGAAAAAAGCTTTGGTCACCAAGGCTCCCAAGAGCGAGCGGCAACGTACATGTCTTCGAACATCAGGGCTCCGAACAAGGAGCGATACAAAAACAAGCTATCCACACCACCGAAGCTCATTGTAGTTTGGACTTGATTGGAAAACCCCTATGTAACACTGCATGCATACACATCGGCTGGGCTCCGGCCGCACCGCCGAAACGAGCCTCCCAGGACGTCGCACTCAGAAAAATATCAACAAACCATTGTGGTGCATACCAGTTCGAGGGACATACGGGGAAACTCTTCTGGCTTCCCACACTTTGTCCCGGGCCGCGCAGGCTCTCAGGAGCGAAGAGTGCCATGAGCCATCTAGGGCCAGTTCCTGAAGCGTTCTTTCCGTTTCGTTGCCGGCCCAGGTGACGGAAAGAGCGAGGTACGAGCGAGTGACGTTGAGTTGGGGCGAAGCCCTTCTTAGGGGGGGTGCACGGGGGGGCGAGGCGGGGGCGGATAGGTCTAATGGCTCGTTTCCCTCGTATTTTTTCCAGTGAAGCGGCTCCTGGCCGTTTTTTCTATTTTTGTTCAGGTGAAGCGGCCCAAGGGCCCCAAGACGGCCCAAGAGGGCCCCGAGACGGCCCCAGGAGAGCTTCAGATGGCCGCTGGACGGTCCAAGAGAGTCTCGAGACGGCCCCATAGGCCCTCCAGAGGGCCCCTGAGAGGGCCTCAGGAGGCGAAAAACCTTTATTCCCTCACGATTTTCGCAGGTTTTTCGGGTTCTCCCCATTTCCGTCCCAGGGGCCCAAAACGGTCCCAGAGGGCCCCCAGACGGGCCCACGACGGCCTCAGGGGCCCCGAAGATCATCCCAAGACGGCCCCCGAAGCGCCCCAGAGGGGCCCAAAACGGCCCCTGATGGCCCCCAGTCGGCCCCACTACGGCCAAGAGGCGGAGGCCGAGGCGGAGGCCGAGGAGGAGGAGGAGGAGGAGGAGGAGGAGGAGGAGGAGGAGGAGGAGGAGGGGAGGGGGGAGGGGGAGGGGAGGGGGAGGGGGGGGAGGAGGAGGAGGAGGAGGAGAAGGAGGAGGAGGAGGAGGGAGGAGGAGGAGGAGGAGGGAGGAGGAGGAGGAGGAGGAGGGAGGAGAAGGAGGAGGGGGAGGAAGAGGAGGAGGAGGAGGAGGAGGGAAAGGAGGAGGGAGACAGAGGAGGAGGGGGAGGAGGAGGAGGAGGAGGAGGAGGAGGAGGAGGAGGAGGAGGAGGAGGAGGCGGAGGGGAGGAGGAGGAGGAGGAGGAGGAGGAAGAGGAGGAACGAGGACGAGGCCAAGGGAGGAGGAGGGAGGTAGAAGGAGGAGGGGGGGGGGGAGGAGGAGGAGGAGGAGGAGGAGGAGGAGGAGGAGGAGGAGGAGGAGGAGGAGGAGGAGGAGGAGGAGGAGGAACGAGGAGGGGCCAAGGGAGGAGGACGGAGGTAGAAGGAGGAGGGGGAGGAAGAGGGAAAGGAGGAGGAGGAGGAGGAGGAGGAGGAGGAGGAGGAGGAGGAGGAGGAGGAGGAGGAGGAGCGAGGGGTGACGTAACAAGCTCTCCACGCCAAGGCTCCCAGTACGATCGTTGGTGTGAGTAATTTCGGTCAAGTTGTTGAAGCGCTCTTTCCGTTTCCGTGCCGGCCCAGGTCTAATGGTGTTATTTAGGTGTTTTTTGTCCCTAGGGTTTTTGTATGTTTTTCGGATTATTCCTCAAGACGGCCGAAGAGCGCTTCAAGATGGCCCAAGACGGCCCCCAAGAGGCCCCCAAGAGGCGCCCAAGGGGCGTCCCAAGAGGGCCCCCAGATGCCAACATCATCTACAGCTTTTCGCTTTTCACGGCGTTGACGACGGCCCAAGCGGCCCCCAAGACCGCCCCAAAACTGCCCAAGAGGCTCCCAAGAGGCCCCCAAAACGGCCCAAGAGGGCCCCCAGCCGGCCCAAGAGGCGCCCAAGATGGGCCCAAGACGGCCCCAAGAGGGGGACCACGAACCCGAAAGTCTAGCCTTTCGCCCCAAGACGCTCCCAGGAGGCCCCCAAGAGCGCCCCAAGAAGCCGCAAGAGGCCCCCAAGAGGCGTCCGACGAGGCCATCAGGAGGCGAAACTCATCGATTTCCGATCGGAAGCGTACATTTTTTTAGCGTGTACGGCTTTTCTGCTTCCACGGCGTTGAAGACGGTCCAAGAGGCCCCCAAGACCGCCCCAAGACGGCCCCAGAGGCTCCCGAGAGGCCCCCAAAACGGCCCAAGAGGGCCCCCAGACGACCCAAGAGGCGCCCAAGACGGCCCAAGAGGGCCCCAAGACGGCCCCAGAAGGGGGACCACGAACCCGAACGTCTAGCCTTTCGCCCCAGGACGCTCCCAGGAGCCCCCCAAGAGCCCCCCAAGAAGCCCCAAGAGGCCCCCACAGGGGCTCAAAAAGGGCCGCAATAGGACTCCCAAGAAGGCTCCGATAAGCCAAATAAAGAGCGATCGGTAACGCAAAATGCTCTTCACACCAAGGCTCCCAAGAGCGAACGGTGACGTAAACAAGCTGATAAGAACAAGGCTCCCAGCAGGGAGCGATGACGTAACAAGTTCTTGGCACCAAGGCCCAGCCAAGGCTCAGGAACGGGCGGCAACGCAACAATCTCTGAACACCAAGGCTCCCAAGAGCGCGGGGTGACGTAACACGCTCTCAACGCCAAGGCTCCCAGTACGAACGGTGGTGTGAGTACTTTCGGTCAAGTTGTTGAAGCGCTTTTTCCGTTTCCGTGCCGGCCCAGGTCTAATGGTTTTCGTTTGTGTTTTGGTCGTTGATGCATTTTGGAGGGCTCTTGCATGCCTCTGGATCAATCCTGGGGGCGTCTATGGTGTCTCGAGGAGGCATCTCGGGAGCCTCCCGTGGGTCTTTTTGGAGCTTGCTGACGGTCTCGGGGGTCATCTTGGGGCGGAGAATTCGAATGTAAGTTCGTGTTCCCCTTTTGGGAATCTCTCGGGGGTCCCCCTGGGCCGTTTTGGAGTCCTTTCGGGCCGTCTTGGGGCTCTCTTTGAGGGCTATTGGGCCTTGGGTCGTCTTGGGGCGATCTTCGGGGCCTCTTCGGACGTGTTGGAGCGTCGGCAGCTCAAAACAGCAAGAACATTGACATTCATCAAGTGCTATTGCATAACAACCAGTGTTGTTTGTGCGCTCTTGAGGCGTACTGGGGCCATCGTGGGCAGGCCCTCAGGGGCCATCTCGGCGCTCTCCAGGGCCGTCTTGGGAGGCGTGTCGAGAGGCTCTTGCGGGTGCGTCGGTCCGTTCTGGGTGGGTTCACCGTCCTGGAGGCCGACGCTACAGATCCCCAGAGCGCCCAAGAGCGCCCCGAAAGTTTGGGGAAATCGTGGTCTGGGCCCTCAAGCGCCAAACTCGTAGACCTGCATGAGCATTGGGGGGAACTTCACTTCGTGCTAAGGGCACGGCGGCGGATCTTCGGGAAACGGGTGACTCGCATGTGGTATCTACGCGCGCTTGGGTTGAGCTTGGAAGGGGCAGTGGCTTCGTGGCTTCGTCATAGGCCAGATTCGAGGGGTTGTGTGTGGTTTCTCTCTTGTACCATGCCTGCTGCACCTCTGCCAGATTCGATTTGACAAGTGGTACGCCTACATAGAGAAGGGCGCCTGGATCCAGGACGGTAGTGGTGGAGTGTATCACTGAAGCGGTGATTTCGATTTTCTCTCGGAGGATGAAGGTGAGGCCGAGGATGCATAAACGTTGACGCTAGAGTGGTTGTCTCCGAATGCCCTGTATTTTGCATAGCTGTCAGCTCGACGATCTGTACATAATGGTAGATGTGTTTTGGGAGGATGCGCCATAGCGTGCCCGGCATCGAACGAAGTAAAGAGGAGGAGGAGGAGGAGGCACACGCGCATTACTTAAGGAGAGGGGTAGCACTGTTCGCCGGCTGGCGCGCCATGCCCAGCCGATCCAAAGTAGGGCCGGTAGCGTGCAGTAGCCGCGGACACAGTCTCGACCGTCCGCGCATCTCGAAGTGGATTGTCATGCAATGTGTGCGTATCGCACGGGGGGGGGGGGCGAGGCTGAGGAGGCACTCCTGGCCTGATCTTCAGCCTGGGCCCCAGCCCCTGCCGTAGCCCCAGCCATGGTTATGGGCGTTTGTTTCGGTTTGTCGTTCGTGTCACTTTCTGCTAGCATTTTATATTGCTCAAGCCTTAGCTGGTATCTCGCCCCTCGCCCTTGCTATAATCTAAAGGCTGCCGCCTCTGCCGCTCACCCCAGAAGAGATTGCATGCCCAGTTGTAGCTATGTGTATTTGGTTCGACTTTTCAAGTGGCCTCCCAGATCGCCCCAAGGCCAGGGGTTGTCTGGGGAGAGGACTAAGGGGGGATGTCAGACGTGGTTGGGGGATCGGGGCGGTTCTGGACGTCGAAACCCGCTACCGTGCTTGGGCTGCGGGTCGGAGGCCACGCGGATGGCAAATGGCGTCTCGTAGGAGGCGTCTAGGAGGTGTTTGGGAGGCAGTTTGTGCTCCTCTTGGGGACCTCCCGGGAGCCTTTTGGTTGTTTGGGGGCCTGTTGGGGGCTTCTCGGGGCAACTGGGAAGCGCTTTGGGGCCGAAGGCTCGACATGTCCGTTCGGAGTCCCCCTGTGGGCTCCCTTTCGGGGCTGTCGTTATGGGGGTTTCTTGAGCGGTCTTGGGGCCCTCTTGGGTCGTCTGGGAGCCTTTTGGGGGGCCTCTTTGGCCGTGTTGGGGAATGGGTTAGGAATGAATGGTTCCTCATGGGGCTGGGACGATGTTGCTGTTGGAGGGCGTCTTGGGGCGCCTCTTGGGGGCTCCTTGGAGCGTCTTCCGTGTGGAGGCCAGCGTGAGCACGTTGGATCGGTCTTCTGGCGGCTCGTGGCCTTCTTGGACCGTTCGGAAGGCCTCGTGGGGCCCCCGTGGCATGTTTTGGAGCCCTTTGTCCCCCCAGACGCGTTCGGGCGGTCCCCGAGGGGCTCCCCTCCTCCAAATCGACTAGACTGGGCCCAGGGGAAGGGTTTGGGGAGGGGGAAGAATCTCACACGCCGATGAACTGCAAGGGGTTGGCGGACAAACGAGTGTGCGCGCATAGTGTTCGTTGCAACGGAAGAGGGGATACCAGCTTGCCTGGGATCATTTGAGTTCATATTTACAAAGAGCGAGGGGGCAGAGTCGCATGTACTTTGCACATCCGCAAAGGGGGGGAGGAGTCTGGCCCTGGGAAGGCGGTGGGTCTTAATGTTCTTGTAGAGAAGAGAATGCACGCGGTGCAACCCATGCGGTGCAATCTGCGTTGTATTATTTCGGTGGCGACGGGGCGGCGACGAGGCGGCGTCGGCGTCCACAGAGCCGCCACACCGAGAGTCAGTCCCAGACGACGGGCGGTGACGGAGGCGGCGACGGCGGCGACGTCGGCCACGGAGCCGCCAGATCGACGATCTGGCATATGATGAAGTTAGATGTGGTGGTGTTGGTAGGTTTCGGGCGAGAACTTGTGGGGTAGGGGGTCCCAAGAACGGAGCTCTCCCTGGATGGGGATGCCAGGCCAGGAGGGGGTCCAGGAGGGGGGCGTTGGTAGGTTTCGGGCGAGAACTTGTGGGGTAGGGGGTCCCAAGAACGGAGCTCTCCCTGGATGGGATGCCAGGCCAGGAGGGGGTCCAGGGGGGCAGCGTTGGTAGGTTTGGGGCGAGAACTTGTGGGGTATGGGGGTCCCAAGAACAGAGCTCTCCCGGGATGGGGATGCCAGGCCAGGAGGGGGTCCAGGGGGAGGGGGCGTTGGTAGGTTTCACGCGAGAACTTGTGGGGTAGGGGGTCCCAAGAACAACAAAGCTCTCACGGGATGGGGATCCCAGGCCAGGAGGGGGTCCAGGAGAGGGGTGCTGGTAGGCTTCGGGCGAGAACTTGTGGGGTTAGGGGGTCCCAAGAACAGAGCTCTCCCGGGATGGGAATCCCAGGCCAGGAAGGGGTCCAGGAGGGGGGCGTTGGTAGGTATCGAGGGAGAATTTGTGGGGTGGGGGGTCCCAAGAACAGAGCTCTCCCGGGATGGGGATGCCAGGCCAGAAGGGGGTTCAGGGAGGGGGCGTTGGTAGGTTTGGGGCTAGAACTTGTGGGGTCGGGGGTCCCAAGAAGGGAGCTCTCCCAGGA